ACAGAGACAGAGACAGAGACAGAGACAGAGGGCAGATTGAGGCCCCAGCGGTGGGGGAGGAAGTGAGGCTGCGGCAGAGAAAGAGCACCAGACTGAGCCAAGCAAGGGGTGGCTCCCACAGCTGCGAGCACCCCAAGAAGGTATGGGGGAGCATGTGCCTCTGGATCTGTGTGGGGCAGGGTGGGATGCTGCTGCTACTAGCTGGGGCTGGGCCAGGCTGTGCTCTGCCTGGGCAGCAGTAAGAGGGGGCTACGGGAGGGACTGCCACCCCCCCCAAATTTGCCATAGCCCCTACAATAGCTCTTTCCAGGACTGCCGCCCCCAGTGCAGCCCGGCCCAGCGCCCACCAGGAACAGCCCAGCACCAGCCCCAGCCCACAGAGGCAGCCCACCCCACCCCACCCAGATCCAGGGGCACATGTCCCCCATGCCCTCCTGGGCGTGCGCGTAGCTGCGGGAACCGCACCCTGCATGGCCCAGTCCTGTAATAGAAAGGATACTCACCTGTAGGGGGCATCCCACGGTAAGCCAAAACCAGGCTGAGCCTGAGAGAGGTCTTTGTCCCACTGAGGACACCAGAACAAAAGGACTGAAGAAATTCTGTCTTCAGGCCCTGGGAGCAGGGTCCGTCTCGGAGCCCCCCAGAATTCCCCAGCCAGGACTAGCGGCTGCCAGGGGCTGGGGCAGAAGGGAGACAGTTGGGAGCAGAGACAGAGAGAGGAACTGTTGTGAGGAGATGGCAGGGATCTCTCTGGGGGACCAGAGCAGCAAGTGAGCGAAGTGAGCAGAGCCTGGAGGCGAGCCCTGGCTCGGATTAAAGAGGAAATATTCGGGGCTGGGAGTGGGCATAGCCCTCTTCTCTTGTACTGGACCACACGTGCGGGGCCCTGAGGGAGCGAGCAACTAGGATCATAGACCAGCCCTGTCTGAAAGGCAGAAAGGGGTGTTGTGGGGAGGAGGTTGTTTATGTATTACAGGAAGCTGAGCATGGGCACCAGCCATCATCAGGGGTATTGCCCCGCGGCCATTGCGGGAGTTCCCATCGCACCCACACCTGAACTACGGTGGCATCAAGACCACAACAGTCAACCTATTGCACAACAGTCAACTCATCTGCAGGTCCAGATGCCCTCCACCCAAGGGTGTTGAGGGAGCTGGCAGGGGTCATCACAGACCCCTTGGCCCGGCTGTATGAGCATTCGTAGTCATCCGGCCAGGTGCCGGGGGATTGGAAACTGGCAAATGTGGTCCCAATTTTCAAGAAGGGGAGGAAGGAGGACCCAAGTAACTATAGGCCTGTAAGCCTCACCTCGGTGCAAGGGAAGATCTTGGAGAGAATCATCAAGGAGCACATCTGTGGGGGCTGCAGGGGAGATCATGCTCAGGGGCAATCAGCATGGGTTCACCAAAGGCAGGTCCTGCCTGACCAACCTGATTGCCTTTTATGACCAAGTAACTAAATCCTTGGATGATGGTGTCACCGTGGACGTAGTCTTTATAGACTTTAAGAAGGCCTTTGACACCATCTCTCACCCCATCCTCATCAATAAATTAAGCGACTGTGGCATTGATGCCTACACAGTTGGATGGGTAAAAAAAATTGGCTGATAGGGCACACCCAGAGAGTAGTGGTGAACGAGTTGTACTCAACCTGGCAAGATGTGAGCAGTGGGGTACCCCAGGGCTCGGTCCTCAGGCCCGCACTGTTTAACATCTTCATCAGCGACTTGGACGAGGGGGTGGAAAGCACGCTGTCCAAGTTTGCTGATGACACTAAGATGTGGGGCGAGGTGGACACACTTGAAGG